CATTGATTACCCGTGCGCTACAGGATTAAATTTAAAGACCGTAGGACACATGTTCACACTTTCAAGCTCCCGTTAGGACTCTGGCAGCTGCATTTTGAAACATCTGAAGGTGGTATAGAGGAGATTGATTGTTTCCCCCATATAGAGAGAGTTACAATAATCAAGCCTTGTGGTGATAAAAGCATGGATAACATCATCAAAATTATATAACACTTTCAAAATTAGTAAAAGAAAGGACTTCATATTAACCAGGGTTAGCAACTGGAAGAAGCTTGACTTGTTTATCAAGCTTTAAAGCACTGTCCAGTAAAACACCCTGGTTTTTCACATTATAGCCTGACGTAAGGTGCCAGAACACCAAGGTTTAAGTTTGGTATACTCTGGGTATCAGAAGGGGTAAACACCACTATATCCTTTTTTTTTTTTTTTTTTTTTTTTCTTCCCCTTCTCTCTTCTCTCAGACTTGAATAATTTTGGGGACATCCATGCTTTAACATCCAAGAGGCAAGTGACCACGGGGTCTAATCTATGTTTCAGAGGAAGATATATTTGTGTCATCTGCATAACAGTGGTAACTTGTACCATACTTCTCAAAGATAGAATTGGAAGCATATAGAGAGAAAATAACATTGGAGCTAGAGTAGAACCTTGAGGGACCCCACGGGTCAAAGGGACCGAAATGGAGTGAAATTGGCCAATATTGATTGAGAAACTCCTGTTAGTAAGATGGGACTGGAACCAATTTTGGGATGAACCACTAATGCCCACCACCTGTTCTAACCAGGACAGAAGAACGTTGTGGTCTACAGTGTCAAAGCTCAAGTCTAACAGTACCAGTGCTACAGAATCCCCAGAGTCGGTAGCTAAAAGAACATCATTAAACCCTTTTAGAAGGGCTGTCTCAGTGAAATTAAATTTCCTAAAACCTGATTGAAACACATCAAATGGCCTTGTTTGTATTATGACCAACTTTTAATTCATGACTTTTGGTTCTGTTTCTCGTTCTCAGCAACACAGCCCCCTGCTGAAGGCCTTCACCACACAGGGCCTGTCTGAGCTGACTCTGCTGCTGAGAGTTCAAGACTACTGTTATGACAACATCCACTTCATGAAAGCCTTCCAGAAAATTGTTTTGCTGCTCTATAAAGGTAGCATTTCTCAAAGGCGTGATTTGTGGTGCTTCTAGAGAGCTTTAATTAGGATGGTCTCTAAACCTTTTCTGATACTTTACTCTTTCTTTAGTGGAGGTTGTGAGTGAAGAGGCTATTCTTAAGTGGTATACTAAAGCTCACCTAGCCAAAGGAAAGAGTGTCTTCCTGGAGCAGATGAAGAAGTTTGTGGAGTGGCTGAAAAATGCTGAAGAGGGTGAGTATCAGTCCCAATTAAACATGATGGTTTCTTTGTTTTCACATATTAAAGAAATTACGCTCTTGTTTCAGAATCAGAGTCTGAGGAGGAAACAGACGGAGACTGAAGCCAGGTTGCTTCATTTTGGAATGAGAAACAATAGTTCTGACTGTAGATGATTCTCTTGCATTCAAGTTAACTGGTCTAGATCACTTAAGGGCTTAACCAACACAACTGTTTTATAGTCTTTTAAGCAAGAAATGTTACCTTTTGAGGTTGCACTTGTAGTCATTGCCAAGGAAGAATGATTGTTCTCACATCTGTGGAACTCGTTATCTAAGACCTTTTTAAATGTTAGTCAAATTGTTCTGGATGTTTATGTACAGGACCACCATTGTGACTTACCTTTTCTCTTTTGACTTTTAAAAAAATTAAAGAAAATAATGCAAGTCTGTCTTTAGGAGTCATTTAATTGAGGTAAAAAGTACAACTTGTTTGTCTTCCTAAATGAGGAGGAAACTATTTCTTTTGGCACTGGTCATGTTAATGTGGGGTAATTTTATGTCTGTCTTGGTAAATTAGTTTAATTCATTGACTTAATCAGTCCTGTTTGAATGTTGGCATAAGTAGTGGAGTTTTTGTTTACCATTACTTATGGAGCACCATATTTATGAAAGCCATAAACACGGCAGGATCCAAATGTAAATTTATTTCAGTAACCCTTCACAACAAGGTTTCATTTGTTAGCATTAGTTAACTATATTAGTTAATATTAACACCTTTTAATAAAATTTTCGTTAACAACGGTTAATAAATGCTGTAAAAAAAAAAAAATGTATACAGGTGCATCTCAAATTAGAATGTCGTGGAAAAGTTCATTTATTTCAGTAATTCAACTCAAATTGTGAAACTTGTGTATTACATAAATTCAATGCACACAGACTGAAGTAGTTTAAGTCTTTGGTTCTTTAATTGTGGTGATTTTGGCTCACATTTAACAAAAACCCACCAATTCACTATCAACAAATTAGAATATGGTGACATGCCAATCAGCTAATCAACTCAAAACACCTGCAAAGGTTTCCTGATCAAAGAAACCTGGGCTTCCATACCACCTCAGCAGTGCCACAAACTGATCACCTCCATGCCACGCCGAACTGAGGCAGTAATTAAAGCAAAAGGAGCCCCTACCAAGTATTGAGTACATGTACAGTAAATGAACATACTTTCCAGAAGGCCAACAATTCACTAAAAATGTTTTTTTTTATTGGTCTTATGAAGTATTCTAATTTGTTGAGATAGTGAATTAGTGGGTTTTTGTTAAATGTGAGCCAAAATCATCACAATTAAAAGAACCAAAGACTTAAACTACTTCAGTCTGTGTGCATTGAATTTATTTAATACACGAGTTTCACAATTTGAGTTGAATTACTGAAATGAATGAACTTTTCCACGACATTCTAATTTATTGAGATGCACCTGTATATACTCTTGTTCGTGTTATTTGATGCATTGTTAACAAATTAACCTAATTGTGAAGTGTTACCATTATTTCTGTGTAGGGATGTAAAGATTCATTAGATTCATGATTCAATTTTCTCACGATTTTTTTTTTTTTAACAAAATTAGACAAGACAGATTATAGATGAAAAGGTGTCCTTTTATTATTGCTTGGACAAAATGCTGCACATTTCTTTGTGAAACAGAAACATGTCCAATAACAAAACTTGCCTGTGCTCTTTGCATTCAAAATTAAAGGCAACCACTGCATTTGAATCACAATCCAAACAAAGAATACATGCAGCATGAGCAGTTTTTTTAAAATCTAAATTAGTTTGTATAATTTGACATAAAACAAAAACAGAATGCTCTGATTTCAGTTTTGTAAAACTATACTACATAAAACATCTGCACGAAACCAAGACAGCAGAAGATGCAGATTCACTCTCTGACAGCAGGTGGTGCTTATGGAACAGCAGCGATACAGCGTTTCTTTAGTTACCACTGTAAACAAAGCAGCGTGGCTTATAATCACTACTATGCAACATACAGAGACGAGATGAAAAGAACTCTAAACTTTTCTAAAGACCGTCAGTTCCCCTTAGAGACAAATTTCATATAAACTCTTACTCCCAAATGAATCGCGATTCGTTTAACATCTCAACCGATTTGAATCGTCACATATTTGTATCAATTTTCAACTCTCTGTGAATCGTTACATCCCTATTTCTGTGTCCCTGCTGTTCAGTGCTTCTCATTTAATGTGCTACTTGTTGCTAGCATTGTCTTGTGCTGGTCCAGTGAGGTCTTGGGCTTCACTAATTTCCTGCTCATCATCTTCACAATTGTGAAGGTCTTTGCCTAGAACACAAATGGTTTGTTTCCAAAGCAATAGCTACAGTTCCTTCTGATGAGTTTCACAAATTTGTTACAGTCAAGTACAGTAGATACTAAAGAGGGAAAATATCTTTCAGTATCGTGGAATGGCAGTTTCTCAACATATAAATGTCAATGTGCTTTACTCTGTTTCTCCGTTCTAGTGTTAAAAACGACAACTATAAATGTTTGCATTTTTTGAGTTTAATTTCATCAAAACTAAATGTATACATTTTATGGAGGAAAAAAAACTTTCAAGTGCAATTAACTTGTGCTATACTGTGGAGATGGTGAGAGTGTGCTACTGCCATCATGTATTGATGTAAGCTGAACAAGTTCTTGGTATGCAGTTCAATTGTGGCGTCCAGTCAGACGGTCTAAAACATGCTTACCTGATTCACTTCTCTGATCAGATGGATCAGGTTTGTCATTGAGAGCTTTAGAAGTTTCATCTACTTCCATTTCCTTGCTCGTATTTTCAGCATCAGTCATTTCTTGCTCTTTGTTCTCACCGTCTTCACTGTCTCTGATTCTCTGCTCAGAATCATTCGCTGGAAAAAGTAATAATTTGAATACATTTTGTGGGTTGATATAAGCTCAAAATATGTGAACTTTGTTGAACTTTTAAACTAAATACAGAAGTAATGTCAACTAGATTTTGGGATTTTCTGAAAAATAAACATTCGCATATTGCTTTGTGGTTGCTATGTCATTGCTGTACTGTTGCTTATAGGTCCAAGTCAAGAAACCATTTATAAAGTTGTTTTAAATGCACTGCAGCAAAAAGGGACCACTTTATAGAGTGTTGCTGCCGTGCTGTCAAAACCTGGTATACTAAATCGCCATGGATTCCCTAGATTTCCGTGACTTTTTTTGGGGGGGACGCTTTCAATTAAGTGTCAATTTATTAGTAAAACAAGGTCTGTGGTAAATATAAATTGACGATACTTGGACATTTTCCTCTACAACATTTTGTACACTCACCCACGCTGAAAACACTAATTTTTAAGCAGTTTTTAATAAGTAACTACAATCACTCCCCTCCTCATCATTTCTTTCACCTTTGGCATAATGTGTTACTGGGTAAGACCCTTTAACCAACTTCATGCCGTTGAAAATGTTATATTTTAAGTGTTAATTATAGCGCTGGTAGTATCAGAATCAGGCCTGGTTGTGTCTAGTCCAGCTGAGCCCCATTATTAATGCAGTTTCATAGATTTAGGAATTAGTAAATAGAGGGGCAAATACATTTTCACACCTGGTTGGTATTAGATAACTTTGTTTTGTTTTATAGCCCTTGTGGATGTCATGGATATTTCGTTTAAAGTTCCAGACTTATCAACCATAGAGATATTTTTAAACTCCAAACTGCATGGTGTTGCTTAGAACTTTGCATTTACCAAATTCATTATCATCCGTCCTGTCTTCTTCATTTTTCTCAGATTTATGCGCATCTTCATTTATGACCTGTTCTTCATTGTTCTCTGCATCATTGTTTTTGAGGGTCTGGTTAACATCATCTTTAAAAATTCTAAAATAAAAGAACAAAATGAAATGAGACCCAGTTTGTGGTTAATGCATGCAAAGACACAGACAGCTGCCCTTGCTTGGTAAATGTGCGTTACTGGATAAGACCTTTTAATAAACTGTATGCTGTTGATAAAGTTCTATTTAAGTGTTGATTTAATTTATATATATATATATATATATATATACATACTGTATATGCCGCATATCTACCAGACCTGCACAGATATCAACACTCAGACTCAAAACTCAAAAGTTGTGAAAATAAACAAACATACTTTTAAACTTACTTTGCGCTTCTGTCTCTGATAATTCACGTATGTTTTCATCGATCAAACTTTCTTGTACGCCATCTTTAGCTAAACACCGAAAGAAGGTAATTTATAATGCATTATATTTGTAGCACATCAATTAAGATGCAAATCAAAGAGCACAAAATAAAGACTCACTTCTAACTCCTGATCTACTTGAATCTAATTGGAGAAATTAAGTCAATATTGTTGCACAAATGGGAAACTGAAAGTCATATTCATATTTTGAGGTAATGAGCACCTACTGTATATGTTTTACCTTTGTTTATTCTTTGGTGAATGAAATAAGCTGCGATCCCCAAGATAATAGCACCGATGACAACTAATATAACTGATAGAATAATATTCTTTTCTGATTGTGGTTCATCTAATTACTAGAACATCACAATAAATCATAACCCAACTTCATCAGTAACACTGTACTTCCGCAGCTATTGTAATGTGCATGAAGTAGACCTGTGTTGCAGTCTTTCAGAGTGAAGCTGCTGTTCTTTTGGCTAACTTCATTTTTCACAGTGCAAGTAGAGACTGATCCAGGCTTCTCCTCCTTGCTGATATGAAGCTCTTGGCCAGAGTGTTGTATAGAATTTGATCCAGTCCATTCAAAGGATATTTGGAACTTAGATGAAGCTGAACAGAACAGTGTTTTTGATTCCGTAATCATGTTCAGTTTACAGGTCACAATTGGCTCCTGCACAGCATCTGAAGGAAACATGGACAATACTGGTTTTGTGTTTACTATGTGGTAAATACTGTGGTAAATACTTTTTTATAACAATACTCGGAGTTAAATCTCATGGCCACAAGATGCGAAAATGTTTGAAACGTACACTTACTAGTAAATTTGTTTCGTTTAAGATGTCCATGAAATTTATCTTAAAATTCTCACAAATGCCTATTGTTTTAAAAACATCTCATTCTTTTGCTGTACACAAGTGTTCAGCTTAATATTGTATTTTTGCTTATTTTTGCAGTTTAATTCAATTTTTAAGCTTAAATGATTTTATTCAATTATAATGATTTTCCATTTGAGTCACATCCACTGCCAGCTACCAATACTTTTTTTTCTTCTGCAAACTATAAATAAATGACTTCTTAGAAAGTTTATGAATGCTGTGTTCATAATATCACAAAATGAACCATCCATTACACGTATCAATAGATTATGGGAGCGTCTTTGCTTGAAAAACCGGCATAGTTGGTAGAGTATGTTGTGCTTTGAATGCTGGTAATTTTCTTGGTCATCCACCTTCACCAGTTTTAATGGTGAGCAGCATGGCTATGCAGATATGCCAGCCAGGCGACATTAAATTTGTACTAACCTACAATATTGTGTCTTATTTCATTCTCATTTGCATCAAGTCACTTACCAATAACTTGAACTTCATTTTCAGAATTTTGCTGCTTTCAATTGACCTGTATTGCATACTGTGGTAAATACTTTTTTATAACAATACTCGGAGTTAAATCTCATGGCCACAAGATGCGAAAATGTTTGAAACGTACACTTACTAGTAAATTTGTTTCGTTTAAGATGTCCATGAAATTTATCTTAAAATTCTCACAAATGCCTATTGTTTTAAAAACATCTCATTCTTTTGCTGTACACAAGTGTTCAGCTTAATATTGTATTTTTGCTTATTTTTGCAGTTTAATTCAATTTTTAAGCTTAAATGATTTTATTCAATTATAATGATTTTCCATTTGAGTCACATCCACTGCCAGCTACCAATACTTTTTTTTCTTCTGCAAACTATAAATAAATGACTTCTTAGAAAGTTTATGAATGCTGTGTTCATAATATCACAAAATGAACCATCCATTACACGTATCAATAGATTATGGGAGCGTCTTTGCTTGAAAAACCGGCATAGTTGGTAGAGTATGTTGTGCTTTGAATGCTGGTAATTTTCTTGGTCATCCACCTTCACCAGTTTTAATGGTGAGCAGCATGGCTATGCAGATATGCCAGCCAGGCGACATTAAATTTGTACTAACCTACAATATTGTGTCTTATTTCATTCTCATTTGCATCGTCACTTACCAATAACTTGAACTTCATTTTCAGAATTTTGCTGCTTTCAATCGACCTGTATTGCAGACGTATAAATACCACTGTCCTGGCTGGTCATGTTACGAACAGTGAGCTGCCCAGTAGTGATTTCAATCCACGATCTTCCTTTGAATTGTCCATACTCTTGAAATTCAGTCAAATCATGTTCAGCCACCTTGTTTCCATTGAATGGCCACAAAATGTCTTCAGGCTTTTCTTGTATATTTGGATTTAAAGTCAAATCATTCCCATTCTCAACAAAGGTGACAGCAGTTACAGCATCTGAATAACATTTAGAAAGGGAAAGATCATGGTGTGAGGTTCAATCTAAAACACTGATCTAAAACATCTAAAAGTTAATAACATCATATTTTTACAATGAAAATTATAACCCCAATGCAGTAGTGTGTTAGCTTGTTTCCTAACAGGTCCTAAATAAATTCTTGGCTGCTACTTGAGCCTCAATTGCCTTTAACATTAGTTCAACGGACCCACTTTATATTAAGTGGCCTTAACAACTATGTACTTACATTTAAATTAATAATTTGGTACAATGCACTTATTGTGTACATACATGTTTTTACATTGTACTTATATTTTAAAAAATACCTGCATGTAATTACATCTGTAATTAATTTCTGTAATTACATTTATAATTACACAGTTGACCCATCCCTTACACCTTAACCCACCCTTAAACCTACCCATACCAACAAACCTGTCCCTAACCTTACCCGTATCACACCTAGATAGTAGCAAAAGTGTTTTGCAATACAATATGAACACAATAAGTACATTGTACTTAATTTTTGATGTAAGTACATAGTAGTTAAGGCCACTTAATATAAAGTGGGGCCAGTTCAACAAAGAAATTGTTTTTGTGGATACTGTCTAATTCATTGTTTGCTTAACCTGGACATGTTCTGAAACGCTTGACGAAGCACTTGTTATGCAACCCATTAGAACAGCTTAATTAAAAGAACTCCAATTAACAACTTTAATAATAGTTGCATTATTATGCAAATGACTATTTTCAAATATAAACAACATTACTTACTGTATCATGATAATATTAAACAGACGAAAAGATTAAATACTTCCCGAGCATTCTCATTTTTCTTTCACTTTCATATTTCTCTCAGCTGTTCCAGGTTAACCGGTCTGTCCACCCTCAGGAATCTGTGGTGAGACTAGCAGTGAGTGGCTTTTGTGCATTTGTATGAGTCTGAAACTGTAATTAAAACATGAATGGGTGGGTTATATGTAGACGGGCATGTGACAATTTTACTTCTGACTACACTGTTGTAAGTTGCCACTTCCTCAAATGAAAAAAGTTTCCATTAATATTTAAATGATGATCTGTTTATCCAGTCATGCTAGCTCCACCCCTTGTTTACAGCTGATAAAGTGATAGTTCACTCAAAAAAACAACAAATGTCATTAATTATGCACCCCCTCAAGTTGTTCCAAACCTGTATGAGTTTCTTTTTTTCTGCTGAGCACAAAATATTTTTTGAAATTTTGAAGAATGTGGGTAACCAAACAGTTGCTGGTCCCCACTGACTTTCATAGTATTATAATGTTTTGATAATCCACTTTACACCGACATGCGTCACAATATGAAAAGTTCTGTTGTTACTTGTGTTACATAGTGACTTTAAACATTGCATTACACAAATATGAAAACAGCAAGAACATTACACAGCCAAAGTCAAAATGCAAATTTATTTACATGGTGTACAAAGGGAGTTTTCAGTAGTGATGCTAATAAAAGTCTATGCCCTATATCAGGCACAGACCCAAATATGTTTACATTATGGGAGAATTTCTTGAATTATGAACATTCAACTACAGCTTTACAAACACTATTCATTTGTGGTAGCAGATCAGAGACGTTATAGGCTATTTCTAAAGTAAAGCCTCAAAAGTTATCACAAATATAAAAGCACATTTGTTTACATTTTTGAAGTGGAGTACAAAACTAATTCACAAACCTAAAATCAGCATTACTGTTTTTGTTGGTTTGGGCGTGTATGTGTGGATTACATGGTAAATGCAAAATTATGTCACTTTTTGCATTTCAATGTGTCTGATAGCCTATTGTAATAGACCTTGTCAGGGTAGCACCATATTTAATTTTTAACAAAAGACTTTCAGTAGACAAAGAGTCCATAAAAATAAAAATCTGAAATGTGAAAAGTTTTGAAAATTACATGTCATCTATAACTTTATAGAACACATGCCTTTGTAAAGATTGTAAGTCTATTCCTCACAGCCTCGTTTCATCCATGTAAAATTCAATATGGTGGGGTTGTCAAAGTTTTTTGTGGGGGGTTGTACAAGCTTTTTGTCAAAGTTGAAACCTAATCATTCATGTTATCCCAGCATAACATGATCAGTCACAAACTTGCTTATTTGATTTGCAGGCTGACATAGAAATGAAGCACAACTGTTTTAAACATTTCAGTCCTAAAAGTAGTTTATTTTCAGGCTTAAGCTAGACTTTTGAATAACAGATGTTATTGATGTTGTAGTTCACACATGACTGATTAATGTGTGGAATGTTAAGGATATCGAGTTGAAAAACTTCAATACTACTAGTATAACTTCTTTTGCTCGGAAAGCTAAGAGTAACAAATACAACAGATCTGTAAGCTGCCATCCACTCAGTTGTGCAGCACAACTGAAAAAAAAAAGGACTTGTGTGAAAGCACAGTGGCAACTGCTACTTTGATCTGTTTGATCAAATGGTTTGTCAGAGCTGCTATTTACTGGCACCGGTTTATTCTCATACATTAATAGTATTTATAGCTTCTAACATAGTAAAACAGGCTATGTGGCTATGATAACTGTTTACCTGATAGTGTAGATTTGTCATGCAGGTGTGAGGGACTTTATCTAAATGAAAAACATACATCTGTCTCGCTCATGTGCCAGTGATTACCCCTCCCCATGCCAATGTTAGCACTCGTGGCACTGATTCCTGACCCCTGTAGTACATTAAATGACTCACTGAGTGATGTCAAATAATAATTCAAATGTGTTTGTCAGGAGTTGATTAGATATGAAATGTTGATAAAAAATCAACCAAATGCTTTTTTTTAAAGATTTTACATGTAACTTTGCAGTCAATATAAAATTAAGAACTTATATACTGCTTAGTAATATTGCTTAAAAGTGACATGATTACTGTGTGAATATTATGTAATCATATAATTGCTAAAAAAGTAACTGTAATCTGATTCAGGGTTTCTACAGACATGAACAAGTTAAATTTAAGAATTTTAAGACCTTTT